ATGTTGCATGTATAAAAAGCTAGAAATAAAAATAACTTGGTTAAATATGTTGTTATAGTTCCCTGATCACTATATAACAATTGATCTGGGCACTCCTTAATCAAAATAAGTTTATTGCACCCAGCTTCAGAATGTGAACTAGAAAGAGCAGGTTGCATTAACCATAGTGTGGTTTTATTTCACTCATGGCACTGATTAATTTTTGGCCCTGTTTCCATGTACAATAAAAAAATGTATATGCAATAAAATGAAGGCAGCTATTCAAATAATTCATTGAATGTATCCAGGTTTATAACTAAATATTTCAGTGAAAATACTTGGGGGAACTGAATGTTTCCGTATATTTGTCTCCACTTTACTGTTAGATATTGACAGACTGAGTCCCCCACCAAGTAGTTATTGTTATTATTATGTTTTGACAGGGGATGTTCAGCTTTCCTCATGTCTTCTTTAAACAAAAGTAAAATATTCCTTGACATATGTTATACAGGTCTAGATGGACCTCTGTTATGGGAGCAGGATTAGAAAATAAGTTATTATTATAAAAAGTTACAAATACAAATTCTCCTTCATTTCTGTAAGGACCTATTCATGATGACAAAAACATTACAGATAATACAAACACTGGATTTAATTACGTATTTTTTTTGGAAAGTGATTTTTTAAAAGTATATTTAGTGATGAGAGAGACAGAGAAATATCCATATGAGAGAAATATCAATTGGTTGCCTCCCCATGCATCCCAACTGGGTCTTGAACCCTCAACCTAGGCAAGTGCCCTAACTGGCAATAGAACCTGTGGCCCTTTAGCGCACTGTAGAGTGCTCCAACCAACCAAGCCACACTGGTCAAGCCTTAATTACTTATTGATACCTAAAACTGAATTCTTGATCTCTTGTACCCACCCAACATACTCCATCCCTAGTCTTTGCCATCTCAGTTAATAGCAAATGCATTTTTCTAGTTTCTTACAACACTTAGATTCTTCCTTGATTACCCCCTTTCTCAAGAACCCCAATTCCGATCTGTCAGTAAATTGTACTGATTTTCAAAATATATCTAGAATCCAACCATGACTTACGGTGTCTATTTTAACAACCTGAGTACAAGCTACTATTGTCTCTTGTCTGGTTAACTATAAAAGGACCTGTAACTTCACAACTATTTTAAAACCTAAGTGACATCATGTCGATCCTCTGCTAATAGCCTCTTAGTCCCTGGCACACAGTCTTTTGGCATCTGCACCCCTTGTAACCTTACATTACCCTATTTTCTTTCTCAGTCATTCTTCTTTAGCTAAAATAACCGCTGGCCGTTAGTGCAACTTACTAGACCTGATCCCACTTCAGGGCTTTGGCGTTGGTTATTTTCACTGTCTGGAATGCTCTTTCTTTCGGTATCTGCAGCTGTCTCCTTCACCTTCTTTAAGTCATTAATCAACTGATGCTTTCTCAGTGAGGCCCACCTTGCTTTCCTTATTTAAAAATTACAATTCTCCCATTCCTCCTGTGCTTAATCTCATTCCATGTCGCTTCCCTGTTGTATATATATTTTTTCCCTGCAACACTCATGGCCCTCTACACATATTATATAATTTAAGTATTTATTTTGCTATTGTCCAACTCCTCCTACTAGCATGTGGGATTGAAAATAATGATGGGGATTTTTGTTTGGTTCTCTGCTATATCTGCAACTCCTAGAATAATGACAGACATGTGGTAAACCCACAGTATTTGTTGAATGAATGAAATAATTAACACTCATCACTCGGTGAATAGACTTCATCTTCATGGAAGGGGGAAGTAGAAGTTGTTCATTTGTAATAAAAGAGGTATTATTTATTGAATTCCATGGAGATGGGAGCAACTAAATTTCTATGTATCTAGAGAGTTCAGGGGCCCTTTGAAACCCTGATAGTCTATGATTCCTTTACCACTCTGAATCCTTAAAACATGATCATTTTCTCAGTAGCTAAGTATTAATTTAAAAATATCCTGGAATGTTAAACTTACAATGAAAATTTCCTAAAAGGATAGATCATGATAACATTTCTACAAGCTGCTCAGTACTACAATTCTTAACATTTCTTCTTTCATCATGTGTTGTTCTATTTCGAAACATGTAAATGTAATGGGAAGGTATGGGAAGCTAATTTGATTAAACCTTGAATAATTACATAATGCCCTCCCTCATGTATTAAGATACAGGGTCTGGCAGAAGTAAGACCTGCTTCAGTGTGGTTGGTAGGGTAATAATATTGTTGTAATAATTTATAGTTTTAACATTTCACCTAAAATGTCTTACGGTGTGCGTGAGTGTGACATTGTTAGTCCACAGTAATAGTGCTTAATTTGCCTTTAACAGCTTTGTTCAAAGGACGGATAATTCTTGTGGTGTGATCAGTTCACATGGTGTCCTGCTGTGTTTTCTCCACGTGCTTTGGAAATCACCTATTTTTCTGAGAGGTGATAGTCTTTAGTGTTCTAATTTCAGCAACAGCTTGCTTTAGTTTTGCTATATTTAAGATATCTTAGTAGCATTGATAGTTTAGGCTATTTGGTATTAATGTAATTGAAAATATTTTTGACCTTTTGTGTACAGTAGTGCTCTCAAACTACAAGCAAAAATATGGCTAAATCAAAAAAAAAAAAAAAGGATTTTTAACAGATTCCAGGGGGTAGGAACATTAGAATAACTCATGTGACTTCAAAGCTAAGATTTCTGCCAACAGCACAATTTACAATTTCCTAAGAATGAATTTTTTAGTTCCCTCTACTAGAGCCTTGTTTGTTTCCTTTCTCCATTAACTCCTTTTTTGTGTGATTCTACATTGGTTAGATACCAGAAATCTGAGAGTAAGAAGACCTGGGTTCTGTTCTGAAAGACTAGGTCAAATCTGGCCTCCATGTGATGCAGGTAGAACTACTGTGCACAAAAAGAACTACTATGGCAACATTAATGAACATAATTTTAATTGAAATGATCTGCTTCAGGTTGTATTTCCTTAGATGCAATAATTTTTCTCTGAATTTTCTCCTAGTTTCTTGATAATGTACTCTAAAGGGCTTTTCAACTATTGTATAAGGCAGTCTTCCTTTGTAAGAAATTACGACAATTTTCTCTTTTCCCTTTATCTTCTACACTTTCCCAGCATTGAACTGAGTCCTGATTTACACATTATGGTGAGCTTTTACAACCAAAATGTATTGATTCTTTTGGAACTATAAGTATTTGGCAAATATTGAGTTGTTGGGAAGATTAATGTGAAAGAAACACAAAATAGAAGACAACTATAATGACACATTACAATCACAATTATATGCACAACTACAATCACAGAGAAAATAAAAAAAGTTGCTATTTTAAACACTGTAAGCAAATAGTAGAAAGGAAAAGGTTATTTCAGAACACAAATACTTATAGGCAAGAACATAACTGATGCAGTAACGCTTAAAAAGACCTGAAGGTTAGTAGTTGAATATGTGTGAAGTAGTTATTGTATTTGACATAGTAGGAGTGGACATAAGCATGGTTAATCCAGTCTTCCTAAAGCAGCTGAAAAGAATGTTAATATAAATAGTAAGACTTAAAGAAGAAAGCAACAGAAATCATTGTCTTACCACGTATTATTTAAAGAACTACACGTGTATCAATCAAATGTGAGAGAACAGGATGTACAGTTTAATGGTGAGAGTGCAAGACTTAAAAATGAGGAACAGATCAAAATTAAGGAAAAATACAGGATCACTCATAAAGAACTTTAAAATAGGAAAAAAATATCAAGAATAAAAGTGGATCATTAAATGCCTCAGCTTGGTAAAATGAGCTGAGGGAAACACTTCATTGCAGGCCACCTTTCCCAACGTCTCTCTAGTGACTCTGTACAGAGTGCAGGGTGGACAGTGGTGGTGCGAGGGATCCGGTGTTCCATGATCCCAAAAAGGGTTTCATGTCCTCTCCCGGCACTGCGGTCCTTTGGGGCAGTGGGTCTTTTCTTATCTCTCCATTTCCCTTCGCTATGCTAAAAGCACTATCCACCTCATTTCCAGGTTCACCCTAATTCCTGACTATAAATTTACAGGGGTCAATCTCTGACCTGCACTTGGAAACAAAGTTCCAGTTGTCAGTCACTGATTCCCTCTTTAGCTGCACTGTTAAAGAATCCAAGACTGGCCCTTGAACACCCTTTGATTTTCAGCTCATCCCCACTCTTCTCCCAGTAACCCTCGCTCTAAGGCCCGAGCCAGGTTCAAGGTCACCAGTCTTGAGGCCTGCGGGCCTCGCCCAACGCCCGCGGGGAGAGCGGCAACTCGCGCACTCCACGACGCTCCGCCCCCAAAGAGCGTGGCGGAAGTGGCTTGCCTGGGAAAAGGAGACCGCGCGCCACCTGGCCGAGCGCGCATGCGCCAGCGCCCAGGCCGCCAGTGTGGGGGGCGTCCGTAGACCTCCTTCCTCGGTCTCCGCAACCCACCCCCTACAGAGAGTCGGGCTCACGCCATCTTTCCCCCACCCCCGCTTACCCCGCTCCAGCCGAAACACTTTCACCCTTTCTACACTCTCAGCCCACTCCTACCCCGCCCCTATCCAAGCGTGTCCCGGGCCGCAGCAGCAGAAACCGCACCATCTCTACCCCCACATTCTCCACGCGGGACGCGCAGCAGTGCCTACAAGTGTTCTTAAAGCAGAGGTTGTTGGTGGCGTTGGGGGAGGTGCGGGGGCGGACGGGAGGGAATGGGAACCGGGATGGATGCCGCGCGGCGAGCTCAGATTGTCCGGGCGCCGGCCCCGCCCTGGCCTTTGCCCTAGGGCGGTCGCGGGGGAGAAATATTGGCATTCGCACTGGAGGGGTGAAGGGAAGACGGTAGTGAGAGGAGCTGGCTCGTCGCGGCGCCCTGGTTCTTCGGCGGGGTTGGAGTTGGCTTTTGACTCCTCCCCGCTGGAGGGTGGGCATGGTGCGAGGGGAGCGGGGCAGGCGAGCTGGAGCGGGAGTTGCTGGGGTGTAAGAAACACCTTCCGCGTGTCATCCGGGTAGTGTTTTGGGGAAAAAATCCCTAAAGGAAATTGATATGTGGGCAGCGTGGAAGAAGAGTTAGGTAGAGTTAGTAAAAGTGTAGCATTTAGAAAATGGAAGAGATCGATTCTTTTCTCTGTGGGGTGAGTCCACACACAAATACTTATGTGACTCCCAGCGTGTCTTTGGCTGGGTGTTTTGGTCTGTAAAATAGGGATCGTAATAGTTTAGCTTAGAATCTGAGGATTATATGAGGTAATAATACACGTTAAATGCTTATAACAGCGCCAGGCACTGGTCAATTACATGGCAATTGTAATTAATTTTGGCCTCCATGTTTTAAGAAATTCAGAATGACTGTGACCTAGTTTTTTAAATTAAAAATCAATCAAGGCACGTGGTCTGACAAACCAGAGTGGGTTTACAGGAACAGTGGAATGTAATACGCTCAGAACCGATCTTGGACGTCTGTTACTAATGAACACGTGGGTAAATTAGCATAACTCCATGAGGCTGATAGAAACTTTGATCTGTTTCGTTGTAAAGTGTATACAGGACGGAGAGGACCTAGGATCTTAGTTTTGTATACGTGAGGGGCAGAACTTTGTTAGTGGAATTAAGTTAGCTCTGTGAAAATTTACTTAAAGACCAAATTGTGGACGGAACTTTGGGAATTTCTGGTGGATGTTACAGAGAGGCTGGATTTGACTGAATGTGAGGAAAAGTTTCCTGATGGTACTTTGCAAAAATAGAAGGCTCTTTTTTTGTGCTATTGCAAGTTTCTTGCCTCTACTTGCTTGAAAAATATTCAAGTAAGAGCAGTGTAGATCTAGAGCATCACTGCCCAATAGAACTTTCTGTCATGATAGAAATATTCTGTAATAATCAGTGCTATCCTAATACGGTCTCCACTAGACATAAGTGGCTGGTGTGCTGGGGAACTTAATTTTTTATTTTATAGTAATTAAAATACAAATACATGTGGCTAGTGCCTGCCTTAACGCACAGCATGAGGTCAAGAATTTAGACTTTGAGACCCGTTCTCCTTCTTGCTTCGGTTTAGTTTTAAGTCAGAGAGGCCAAATCTTGGAACATTTATTGCCTTAGGGCAGTGATTTTTCAACTGATGTGCCTTGGCAGGCACACCTGTGTGCCACAAGAATTTTGAAAATATGTAATACCTGACTATTTAGTCAGGGGCACTAACCTCTTTTTCCTCAGACTGTCAAATAAAAAAATGACAGCAGCTAACACAACAATAGCCATTCGGTGTGAATGAATAAAAATTATACCTATTTTTTTGGTCAGATGGGCAACCAACAGTGTAGTTTTCGGTTTGCTCTAGACTTTTAGTAATTAGTTTATGTGTGCCATGAGATGAAAAAGGTTGAAAATCCCTGCCTTAGGGAATCATAATTATATTCAAATAATGCCTTTCATTCAAGTACCATAGTTCAAAGCATGGGTCTGTTAGTAGTTATTTACAGCTTGACAAATTAAAACAAAGCATTCTTTTGTCTCCTAGGTTGTACAGCTAATGCTAGATTCATTTGCAGAGCCATAACAATACTAACTGGAGTTTCCTTTAATCATTACTCTAGTGTGTTGTGACCATGGTGTCTTCTATCTTTTGTCACTTTGGTTAGTTTTTAGTGAAAGCTTTTTAACTCTTTTATTCTTGAAGTGTTTTGTTTTGTTTTTTTTTTTTTTGCATTTGAAAGTTTTTTTTTTTTTAAACTTTGGAGCATTGGGCCATCTTAGAAGTAGTTTTGTGGTTATCGGTTTATTAGTATTAAAATTTTTTGAATTGGTAAGTCTGAAATTTGGTGATATTTTGCAAGAAATGTATTTCACATTTTCTGTGAAATATATAAATGTTTCTTTTTCAAGCAAATATTTATAAAGTTAAGTTTGAAAGTAAAACTTAAAAAACAACCTTGTAGATAGCATCCCTAACTCTGGCTTGATGTCTGTAAAATGGTTACCTTGGTTTCAAGGCTGAAGAAAATCATTAGATCTGAAACAAAACTTAAAGCTCATGAATTAGGCATATGCAGAGAATAAGCCATTACATACAAATCAAAATGGTTGCTCTTATGTAGGGTGACTTATCCCCCACTTTTTCTGGGACAGTCTGTTTTTCTCAGTATATTAATAGAGCCCTGTTCACTGTCAAAAATGTCCCAGTTGGAACCACATAATAATATGGTCACCCTACTTTTAGGTTTGTTGAAATTTGTAATATGTAATTTTAGGAGGATTAACCATACTGCATTCCTAGAAATGTACTTGTTTTTAAGTAATGGCAAAGCTATTGCCTTTGAGCTTAATAGATGAGATACCTGGATTAACACCAGCAAGTGACTTGTTCTTTAAGCCACTGGTAATTTAAAAATTTTGCTTTTCTCCTTATAATTGGAAACAAATATTTGACATCCTAATTTTTGGTTTTCTCAAAAGAAATGATTTTTGGTATGGGAGACTGCAAAGAATTAGGCCATTCAGTCAAATCAGATTGAATATTCTTCTTGAAATAATGCCTGTTTTGCCATGGCTGGTGTGGCTGAGTGGACTGAGCACTGGACTGTGAGCACTGTTGCTGGTTCAATTCCCAATCAGGGCACATGCCGGGGTTATAGGCTAGGTTCCCAGGAGGGGGCGCATTAGAGGCAACCACACATTGATGTTTCTCTCCCTTTCTTTCTCCCTCCCTTCCCCTCTCTCTAAAAATAAATAAAATCTTAAAAAGAAAACCAAAAAAGAAACAATGCCCGTTTTATTTTATGGTTAGGTTGAATAGTGAAATCAATTGGAAATCTGCTTATTATGTATTAGAATGTTAAAGATTTGGCTTATTGTTCACTTAAATAGTAAAGGAAAAGAAATTCACCCAAATGCATTATTATACTAATTGAATTTATACTATAGTGAAGAAAATATTTTATTGAGAGATGCACTTAGTTTGAGTCCTCACTTTTCTGATGGTTAAATGAGGTCACTCATGGGGAGTATTGGGTGCAGCGAAGCACAAAAGTATTCAGTAAGTGTCACTTGCTCTAGTCTTCAAGTTATTAAATAATGGATGTAGAAGAAATATTAATGTTCTGAGATGCATTGTAGATGGGTGCAAAGAGCACTTAATACTAATTCTGAAAACCTAGTTTAGTCCTTTTCTGCTATGTTCTCTCTGCGATTTCAGTTGCTTTCTTTTCCGAGTCCCAGTTTCCTCATCAGTAAAGGGGAACTAGTACCTAACGTCATTCCACCTCCTCACAGGGTAGTTGGAGGCTTCAAATGAGAATTACATAAATTGTCATGTTTTACAGATATTTTATATTTAATTGGTTTTGTTTCAACTTATCTACCTACTACCTCCAGTAAAGACTGACCCTAAATCTGCAAAATTGGTTGTATATTTTAATTTATGAAACAGCATATATAATAGACACCATTACCCAAAATGTTTTCCTTAACAAATAATACTGTTAAGTCACAGTAGTGGTGCTTTATTGATCTAGTTACAACATATTCTCTATACAAAACAACTCCATACAACTGCTAAGAGAAAACCGTCATTTTCATGGGCACTTGATGTGTTCCATCCGTTGTGCTAAATGCTGCATCTCATTTATTTATTCAAATATGTCATTTCTCATCTAAGAGGTGGCACTGATGAGGCTCTTTCTCGAACTGATGGTCAGGTTTGTTTTTTTTTTTTTTGCATTATACTACTGCTTCTAATAACATCTAGTTGGTAGTTAATGGTTATTGAACGTTAAATAAGGTAATGAATATGTAAATTGCATGCTATCTGGCATATAATATGTAGTAGTTGAAAACAATGCTGTGTTTGCTGAATTAATAGGTCAGTAAGTTGAAATAATATGTGAACGTACTTTATAAATTATTTTAAAATCTTGACGTGTACTTTTGCTATTTAAAATGCTATAGAAGTTTTATGACTGAATTCTGTGTAGTTCACTTTTTCATATTTGGTTTTGAATCTTTAAAAGACTACTACTGCCCTGACTGATGTATCTCAGTTGGTTAGAGTGTCTTCCTGTGGACTGAAGTGTCTTGGGTTTGATTCCTAGTCAGGGCACATACCTAGATTGCGGTGCTTTGGTCCCTGGTTGGGCATGTACAGGAAGCAATCAACAGATGTCGTGTGTCCCGTGCCGCCCGCCCCGCTTCTCCTCTTCTTCCCTCCTTCCCTCCCACTGATTCTCTCTCTTCCCCTTTTTCTCACTCTAAAATCAATGAGCATGTCCTTGGGTGGGAATAAAAAAACATTACTACTAATCATACCATTCTTTCATTAAGAATATACATGAAGCTATACTCTTGATTAGATGATGATTCTTCTGCTTCATCATAACCATCATCATCATTATTAACTGAGAGCTTTTCATATACCAGGCACAGTCCTAAGTGCTTTATAAACAGTATTTCATGTAACCTATGAGAAGAGTATTTTTAATTTCTACTTTAAAGATGAGGGAACTGAGGCAGGGAGGTGATGTGACTTGCCCAAGGTCACGTGGTAAGTGTTAGAACCTGTATTTGAATTCCAGAGCCCAGCTCTTTACTGCTGAACTGTGTGTCGGCATAGGCAGGTACTTCACAACAAAGTTCACTATCACAAACACATTGTGGAGGTCTTGTGAGTTAATTATGATCAACTTTTATTTGTATGTTCCTTGTGGGATAGTAGAAAGAACTCTGGACCAGGAGTCAGGGGACCTCCGTTTTAGTCCCAGCTGTATCACTAAATAGTGATGTGTCCTTGGGCAGTTCAAGAAACCCCTCTGGACTTCAGTTTCCTCACCTGAAAAATGAGGGATTTGGATGAAATTAGTGATTTTTCAAACTGTAGTTCTGAACTTCAGATGTCTTTGGTCCCCCTCCCGCCAATTTGCATGGTTATGCTTTTGTCTGTTATAGCTGTTTATCTATCTGCCTAAGATTTACTTTTAAGGAAGGAATTTCTGAACTTGCTTTTAAAGTCATCAGCCTCTAAGATGATAAGTCCCCTGACTACCATGTGTACAACTTCTCAGTAATATCACATTTAGTGTGTTAAAGGAGAGAGGCACTAAAATGGGAAAAGATTGGTGAATTTTTTGTTAAAATATTTGTACAT